CCTCTCCTCCCCTACTTGTCATGGTGTTTCATCGAAGCAACAGAAACCATGACTGATGCACTTGTCTAAACCTCAAATCAGCATTCTTGAGGCCCTGCTTCAATGTTTACTCTGAGGAGATGAGTCATGATTGGAGGAACGGGAGACTTCCTTCTAACTCGTTATGGGAAGTGTCACCACGCTGTCAGCCGTAACTCTTGTGTCTCAGCCATAACGCTGCACGTCTCAGCCACTTTGATCTGGTGCTGCAGACTGGAGGACTCCTAGAGAGTCTTCGGTCTGTGGTGGCAAGCCAAAGAAGCTGGAGTGCCGCGGAGGCAGCAAAGCGTAGCTGCACTCGCCAGCAGAGGGTTAAGGCGAGCAGGCAAAGAGGCCCTGCTTCTCCCTCTGACTCCTTATCTCTGAGCTCTCAGTCAGAAGGTGTTGCCCACCATGGAGCAGCCTTCCTTCCCCGGTTAATCCTTCCTGGAGATGCTCTCACAGGCCTACCGAGAGGCATGTCTGTTAACTGAGTACAGATCCAAGCAAGTTGACAGCCCGAACTAAGCAGCACACCTACGTACAGAAAATTTCAGGTGTCGTGGATACAGACTGAGTTGAACATGTGTTCTTACTGGCACCCATAGTGTCCCGGAATCTCCCATCACGCTCAATCATGCCCTTGTCTCCACCTGAGGATGACTATGGTATGAGCTTTGCCAGACATGGTTAGCTTGGCTGGTCTCTGGGTTGATTTTCTCTTTATGAATCCAGCCATATACCCTGCATTCTCTTGCATCTGGCTCCTTTTGCTGGCATCCAGGGAGGCTCACCTGAGTAGCGGTCTTGATGGTGGTCCAGTCTGAGTAGCAGTCTTGATGGTGGTCCAGTCTGAGTAGCAGTCTTGATGGTGGTCCAGTCTGAGTAGCAGTCTTGATGGTGGTCCAGTCTGAGTAGCAGTCTTGATGGTGGTCCAGTCTGAGTAGCAGTCTTGATGGTGGTCCAGTCTCTCGGCTGATTGCATCTCACGATCTCAGCGCCTCACAGTTCCCCATCCAATCGGTGTTGGGCTCTTGGAAAACATCCAGTTCTTGCTGCTATGAATAGGGATGCTGTGAAAAATCTGGAAATATCTTTTGGTGAGCATATGTTGGTATTTCTGCTGGAATGATATGAAGACACGGATACAAACACGTAGAGAAGGAGTCAGGGGCAGAGAGCACGTGGGGTCTTAGGAAGCATGTGCTTATCACCAGCAGATGCTAACAGCTCTGGGAGCGACCATCAGCTGCACCCCATCTGCCGTGTGTAAGAGCACAGATGGCAAGCGGAGGTAGTGGACCACGCCTGCAGTCCCAGCACCCAGGAGGACAAGACAGAAGGACCCTGATTTCGGGGCCACCCGAGGATACACAGCAAGTTCTAGGCCAACCGGAGGTAGTGTGAGACTGTCTCAGAAAAACAAATGCCAGCTGCTTTAGTTGCATGTATGTGTGTGTGTATGTATGCATGTATGTATGTATGTATGTATGGTATGTTTTTTCAAGTGTCTCTCTGTGTGCGGATGTGTGGAGGTCAGAGGACAATTTAAGGGAATCAGTCCTCTCCTTTTACCATTTAGGAGCCAGGGACTGAACTCAAGTCACTGGATTTGGCAGCAAGTGCCTTACTGGCTGAGCCAGGTTGGGGGCTCACCCAACACGGTATCCGTTGGTATTTTGTTTGTTTATATGCCCCCCTTTAGATCTGCAACCTCTATTCCTCCATCCTCAGATGACTCTCAAGATTTTTACCTTCTGGAGTTGTAGGAGCTGTGGTTTTCATGGCCATGCTATCTTTTAGGGCACCGCAGTGCTTAGGGGAAGCCAGCTGGTCAGCCATGGCCCGTGAGCTGTTCCTTTCTCCTCTCGCTCTAGAGAGCAGTTCCTTCATGAAACCAGCTCATGTTCCCTTCAGACACACTCTAATCTCTTCTCCACCCAGAGGAAGAGCGATTTATCATCAGAATGAACAGATGTCAGCCCCAGCTGTTTGACCTGAAGTGTCCAAATCCTCAGAGTCCCCCGTAATGACCAGAGGTAAAGTTCTGCTTGGCCCCCTGACACCCACCAGCCATGTGGTCCCTAGTCATGTCCTTCTCTTCGTGTCACATTAGGTCACGTGGGGAGGGACGAGGCTACTCCAGTCCCTTTGCCTTAGACCCGCAGACACACGCGGGTCCTGCTCCACCATCCCAGCTCTGATCCCTATTACCACACTTCCCACACCACCACGTCACCAAAGACATCGGTGTCCCCAGGCATAAGCACACAGGGGCCCCCATGACGATGGCAGCCATCACAAGGTCATTTCTTGCCCTTTCTGCTTCACCTCAACTCTCTCTCCTGAGATGCCCTGCCTGAGCAGTGAAGGCACACAGAAGTTCATCCTTCCTGGCCTACGGCTTGACTGTCTGTTGATAGAACACAGGACCATTGAGAACTCGGGATGGACAGATGTGGACCAGACTCGATCTCACACAGTCCTCCTCATCCAGAACCTCCAGCTCATTTGCCTTCCAGAGTTCATGCTGTGCTCAGCAAGTCTGTGGCACAGAGGAGCTCAGGGTGGGAACTAAGTACCTCTCTCCTGGCTGCAGAGTCAGCCTGAGCCTCTCCCAATACCTCCTCCAGGGAAAAGGTCTCCCGGACCCATCTGTAATGGGCTATAGCGTGGAAAAAACTGGACTAGGTCCACGGAGTGGGGCTGCCCCTTCTGTTTCCTCTTCTACGGCACTTCACGGTTGAGCATAGAGCCACGGACATGATGAAGACGACCATAATGTGACCCAGTAAACTGCCCTCCCCAGGATGCTTGACACAGCACAGCTTTTGATAGCCTTTTAGCATTTTAAATCAAAGCTAAGACTGCTCAAAAAAATCACAAAGCCAAAGAAGCCAAAGGAATGTTGGTGGCTGTTCCTAGAAGCCACATATGTCTATTTTCGGCTCCCAGTGAAGCCAGCACACTGTAATTAACATAATAACACGCTCCCTTCCATAAAGACAGGTGACACCATTGACCCTCAGTCCCCATCTGGGCGCAGTATATGTGCTGTGAGTTGTTTGCTCAGCTGTGGCCTTGCTACTCTCCACCAGGACCCTCTCATCTCGCGTGGATTGGGGCCAGGCATTTGCAGGAAGATCAGGAAAAAGGAGTGAGGGGAACTAGACCTCCAGGGAAGGAAGAGATTCTGGGTGGGAAGTTGAAGACATCATGGGGGAAATCAAGACGGAAATTTACTTGTCTCCGTGTGTGCATGTGTGCATGCGTGTGTGCATGCGTGCCTGTGTGTGTGTGTGTGTGTATGTGTGCGTGATCATGTGAGCATGGGCATGTGTCCGTCTTGTGTAAGGACAGGTAGAAACAGGCATGTGTCCATAATGAAAGCCATCAGAACCTACAATTATGAAGACCTTAGTCATGAGCATTGCAGCATTCAAGCAGCCCAATAAACTTAGTAAAGAGTGGGCAGGTCTCACTGTTCATACCCAGACCTTTTGCCTTCAGGCCAGAGTCATCTTTATATACGTGACCCCACATGGGACCTCTGGCAGCCAGAGCCAGTAGGGGGCTGCACACTTCAGGAGAAGTAAGGGGACAGCTGCTCCGGCTCTGCAATGCCACTCTTTCTGTCAGGGTCTGCACGAGGCTGACCTGAACTTTAATCTTACCCCAGATCCGAGTACTTTATGGCTCTGTGTGTGTGTGTGTGTGTGTGTGTGTGTGTGTTAGAGAGTGTGAGAGAGAGGGGGGTGCATATGCATGTTCGAGCATGTATGTGTGTGCATGTGTGAGTGTGTAAGCATGTGTATGCGAGTATTTGTGTGTGCATATGTGTGTGAGTGTGTGCAAGCATGTGTATGTGTGCGCGCACACGCACATATGCATGCGTACATGTGGAGGTCAGAGGTCAGCATCAGATGCCATCACGTTCCTCCTTGATTTTTGAGACAGAGTCTCTAATCCAATTCAGCAGCCTACCCGGCCAGCAATCTCATGATCCTCCTGTCTCTACTCCCTCAGCCCTATGCTCACAGGCGTCCACTGCTGCACCCAGATTTTACATGGGTGCGGATGATCCAAACTCAGGTCCTCTTGCTTGCCCAGCAAGCACTTTACTGGGTGAACCATCTCCCCAGCCCAGAAACTACACATTGCTTCGCAAGCTACTGAATTTCTCCAGGCACCGGTTTTTACGGCTGTACACCAGTGCTTCTCAACATGTGGGTTGAGACCCCTTTGGAGGTTGAACCACCCTTTCATGGGGGTCAAATATCAGATATCCATTATATTAAGATATTTACATAACAGTTCACAACCGTATCAAAATTATGAAGTAGCAATGAAAATGATCTTATGGCTGGGGGTCACCCCAACATGAGGAACTAAATTGTATTAAAGGGTCACAGTATTAGGAACATTGAGAATCACTGCTCTACCACGAGGGAACTAGTAATATTTACATCAGTATGGAGTTCCAGCCATGAAAACGCCTAGCGCAGGCCTAACACAGAGCACCCAAATTGTACCACTGTTTAAATCAATTCTATACAGTAACTTTTATGACTCTCTTGGCATACTTCTTGCTCCACCTACACAGAAAAATTCTGATTTTCAATATCCAGAGGCAAGCACCACTCCTAATGAAGTTAGATGACCGGGGTCAGGATGGCGGTAAAGGGACTCAGGAAAGAATAGTACCACCTCTTGTAAAACTCTGCGGTCTTCTAAATTGTTGGACTCAAGGGATTTGTGTGCAGCCCAGCACAGAGAAAATCATGTGTTGATACACACTACCCAAAAAAAGAATGGCTGACAGTTCTCTTTAAAGGAGCCCCAACCCCATAAAGGGCCAAAAATAATACCAAAACAATAGCAAGAATCTTGGCTTCCAACACAGGACGTGCTTCCTGCTCCGAGCACTTGAAAAATCCATCTAGAAACAGCATTTGGCAAAAGCAGGGTCAGCTGAAGCCGCCCTCCCTGCTGGAAACCTGAAGTCCAGAAGGGTGTCCCCTTCTGCCCCCTCAGGTTCCGGCTGTGACCCAGGCCTGACCCCTGCAGGAAAGCTCTCCCATGCACAGAAGGCGCGCTGCTTGGGGGCCCATGACTGCTGATTCTCACTGTAAGCTTGACTGGATCTGGGGCCGACTTCAGAGACCAGCATGGATGGGATCTGTGAAAACACTTCCAGGTTGTACTAACTGAGAGGGAAGGCCTTCTTAGTGAGTAATGAGTGGACTCTTCTGACAGGTGGTCCGAAGATAATAGATCTGGGGACAAGGCAGTGTGGCTGTCTGTCTGCCTTTGTGTCATGCCCCACCCCTAGCCTCCAGCCCCCCACCCCCATCCCCCCACCCCCACCCCCACCGGTAAGTCCCTTGATTGCCCTTGTTGCTGGCATCAGACTCCAGCTTCTTCAGCCTTCCTATGTGGACTGAAGGCCTCTGGCTCTGCTCTCTAGGCGTCCTCCATGCCTTCCATGCCTGGCTGGGGCTGCCGAGGCACCAGCCTCATGGGCCGATCAGCTCTTGGGTTCTCAGCCTCTCGGAGACGCACAGCCCCTTTACCTCCCGTCTTTTCTGAGACACTCGTGGACGGTAGCTGTTTGGAGCCTCACACTTACTGTGGCCTGTCCGGCCTGCCGTCCAAACGGGTACGCTCCTGGGAGTGACAGACGGTGGGCAAACATCTCTCCGGTGCCTGGGACCGTCCAAGGCCAGCCTGGACCCAAGGTCGTCACACTTGGCCTACCTGGGCAGGGCAGTCTGTGGTCATTCATCATTAGCCTAAGTGGGTGGTGGACGGTTCATTCCGGCTGCTGACTGAGTCAGGTTATTTTTTCAGTCATTATAGACTTAGACTCAGCTCCCAGCCTTGAGCAGACGAGAGTCAAAGACACAAAATGTCTACAGCATACAAAACAGTCCCAAATAATTGGGGACTTTTCTGACCTAAAATGGTGCCGGGAACTGAACCCAGGTTCTCTGCAAGAGCGGTGAGACTCTTTAACCACTAAGCCATCTTTCTAATCCTAGATGTGGCATTGTAACAAAAAATTTACTGGTCTATAAAAAGTGTACTGGTCAGAGAAGATTTGTGGCATACTGAATGAAAAAGGAATTAATTGATACGACCCCATTTGTACATACATGTTCTCTTTCCCCACACACAGAGAGACACAATCTATATGTTTGTGCTTGCTTGCATGTGTGTGTGTGTGTGTGTGTGTGTGTGTGTGTGTACATGCGCATGAGCATACACACGCAAGGATACAGAACTCCTAGAAGAATGTGGAGTACAGTCTTGGGTGAGGAAAATGAGGAGCTGACCCAAGGCTCATGTGTTCCCCGTTAAGGGATCCTGTAGCCGTGAGGAAACAGGCAGCTCCTGAGCTAGCACTGGCAAGTTCTGGAGACTGCGGCCCCCTGGGAGCAGTCTAAGAAAAGAAACAGCAGCCACAACCCTCAAATCTGTGCCTGTGACAGTCATGGAGTCCCAGATGACTGCTTTAACCTTCAATCAGACCTGCGGGGGACGCCATTCCTTACCCAGGGCTCAGTGTGCAGATCTGCAGGAACTGGAGCCCTGCTGAGGGCGGGCTGTGGGCTGGGCGGGAAGCAGGAGGGAACTAGTTAAACAAGAGCAAACCAGTCTCCACTCACATGTTCTTCTGGGAGGGAAACATGTGCTCTGGCCGCCACGACAATCATTTCTGGGCTCAAAAAAAAAAAAACAAACAGGAAGAAATCCACCAAACACTACACCACAGCACGAAGCAGCTTTGCCAAGAATTTGGCCCCTGCTTAACTGGGTTATCGAATAAGTCTTCAGAGGCACGACCCACAGCCAGGTTCATGAGGCATGGAGGGGCTGGTTTGTCATTGTCCTCCTCACAGACCACCTCAATTTAGAATCACACCCGCATCTTGTGGGAAGATGTTTATACGAAGGTCCACACCTCCATCATACCCCTCCTCCCTCCATGGCAATCCCGCCACGAGTTGGGCCCCTTAAAATTGCATTCAATCCTAAAAGACATTACGAGGCAGAAGTCATCATCCAGTTTCACTAGTGAAGAAGTCGAGGTTTGGGCTTAGGGAATATTTCAGTAAAGTTCTTGCCATGCACACACACGATCCTGAGTTCAGCTCTAGAATCGCATGGAAAAGGTCAGGTGTGATACCACATGAGCATCATCCCAGGTAAAGACAGGCAGACTCCTGGGGCTCACCGGCCAGCCGAGGCTAGGCGGTGCGTTCCCGTGAAAGACCCTGTCTCAAAAAGAAAAGAAAAGACCGTGCCAGAGGAACTAATACTTCAGATTGTCCTCTGTTCTCCATACACATGTGCATATACCCCCGACATGCACACGCACACACATGCACACTTGCACTGAACACACGCACATGCACACACACATGTGAGCACATACATACACGTGAGCACATACACACAAGCACACTCGAACGCACACACATGCACACACGCACATGCACACACACGAGCACATACACACATGTACACACACACTCACACACAACGCACACACATGCGCAGTGGGCGTGGCAGGAAAGCGCTTTGCAGCACATGAGGGGGCGACTGTGCAAGTTGGGGCCACCGGCCTTGTGAGTTCGGTTGTCACTTTTGAGCTTTGTGCCGAACACTGGGGTTTTGAAAGGCGAGTGGAATCGGATTGGAATTTATTTTCTATTATTCTAGCTTTGGGTCACTTAGGTGATTGTCATGAGTGGTGTCTTAGAGTTTCTGTTGCTGTGAAGAGACACTATGACCACGGCAACTCTTATAAGGAAAAGAGGGGACTCGCTCACAGTTTCAGAGTTTCAGCCCATCATTGTCATGGCGGGAAGCATGGCGGCATGCAGTCCGACAGGGTGCTGGAGGGGTAGCTGAGAGTCCTGCATCTTGCAGGTAACAGGAAGTCAACTGAGACACGGGTGGTATCCTGAGCATAGGAAACCTCAAAGCCCATCCCCATAATGGCACACTTCTTCCAATAAGGCCATACCAATTCCAACAAAACCGTACTTCCTAATAGTGCTACTCCCTATGAGGTAATAGGGGCCAATGACATTAAAATTATCACAAGTGAGATGGCCAGGACTTGGGCAATGGCAGTGAGTATGCTTGGTAACAGTTGGCAGTATTTGTGGATTGACCGATTATAGAGACCGAAGGAGAGTGACATTAGGTTGACATTCCACAGTGTAGGTTACTGGGTCTACTTGGGTCTACCCTCCAACAGAAGCCCAAAGCAAAAGATAATCACAGGCTGTCACAGATGTTGGTCAGTGTAACCCAGGTGAGCTTGGGTGCCTACACAATGCCCAGGTGGAAGTCTTGAGGAGGTGGTGGGGATACCCCGGAGAAAAGCTCAAGAGGAACGTCTGGTTCTTTTGAGTGCATTGTCCTGGCCTTCAAAGTAGTCCTTTGGGGAAATCCTGCAGCTTCTCCCAAGTGCCAGGGAACCCAGCTTCTTAAAGTGTGAGGAAGTACCTGTCGGCTCGCTGGAAGTATTCACCCAGCCAGACAATTTACACTCACGGTGATTGGGCGATTATTTACAGCATTCCCAGGGGTGCAGCGCCAGCTGGAGTCGGGCTTCGAAACGGTTTCCCACCTTATTCTTAGCAATTACATTCAGGCTGGTGGTACATATAGCCGTATAAATTGTTCACCAATAAACACGTCCCTTAAGAGGCTTACTTAGCTTCTGGAAGCTTCGTGAAACAACTATACAGGTTCATCATGCCATCCTCCACCCTTAGATTTTATAGGGGATCCCCCATTAGCTTTAACGGGGAACGTTGTTCATCGTCTCCCCCCAACGCCCTTGTTGTAGATCAAGATTAGTGCGTGACCCATAAAAGACAGTCTTCGACGGGCCTGCTGGGTCATTCCCGCCCACCTCCGCGGCGACTGCAGGGGCGTGCGCCTGGGCTGCTTCTGGAGCTTGGGCTACCTTCTGCTCCCTTTCTTGCTTGGTTGGAGGCTGTTTCGTTGGTGGGGTTGCTTTAGAATCGCTTCTGTTTGGAGTAGGAAGACGGTTGAGCTGCTAGAGTGAAAGGACCCCCATTCCTGGGTGTGGGGGAAGGGCACCCCACACATTCACCCCAGGACCCCAGTTTTCTCCATCATGTTGCTCCATAGTCTGCTCCATAGTGTGACCAAAGGGAAACCGGAGGTAACCCTGGAGTCTGGGTTTTGAGAACTTGTGGGATAAAAGGGAGTTCCATCAGAGTGGCTTCTCTTCCTTGCAACAACTGCCTGGGAGGTTCCCCATCAGCTCAACTTGTCGTGACCTGTGCTTGGTCCCACAGCTTCTTGGGAACAAGAGGGGGGACACAGTGCTGGTAAATATGCCACTCGTTCGAATAGCTGCTCTTGGTCAGCGTCTCATGAGCTGAGCTTCTGAGAATAAAATGGGATAGAGAGGCAATCTTCCGGGACCAGAGAGATGGCTCAGTGATTAACAGCACTGGTGTCTCTGGCAGAGGACCTTGGTTCTATTCCCAACACCCGCATGGTGGCTCACAACCATCCGTAACTCCAGTTCCAGCGGATTCTGGTTCCTTCTTCCGGCCTTCACGGGCACTGCGCACACCTGGCACACAGACATACAGATACCTGACAAGGAGAAACTTAGAGGAGGGGTTTATCTTGGTTGCATTTTGAGAGTACAACCCATTGCGGTGGGGAAGGCACCGTGGCAGGAGCCTGAGTGTTCGCATGGCACCCTTGTTCTAGAAGCAGGGAGTGGACAGAAAATGAGGCCGAGCTGTGAGACCTCTCTGTGGGCCTCTAGGGAATGACTTCTGCCATAATCTCCACCCCCTAAGGGCTCTCTTTCCCCAAACAGCACCAGCATTTGGAGAGCAAGTGTTTGAACCAGAGCGATTCTCTCACACGCAAGTCTGACTCATCAGAAAATACTCCGTCTCCTTCCTTGGCTGTTCAG